CCTGTGGATCTGCCAGCAGATTGCAGCAAGAGCTGGACCATATCAAGAACCTCAAATAACTTGAAGATCTCATGTAATGACATTGTAGTCTTGGAAAACATAACATTTGATGACTCATGTGCACTGAACCGGTCTCAACACATTGCAAAGATAGACTCTCCCGTCGTGCCAAAGTTAGACGGGAGAATTCCAAGCTGTGATTCTCTCCCTGATGTAGCTCATCTCCAAATAGTCCCTGGCACAAGGCTTCCTGTTTACTATGGAACAACAGTTTCAGTGCAGTGCGAAGAAGGATATACACTTCAGGGGATCTGATGTGTGAAGAGGAACGTCTGCTTGTCAAAGCTTGGGTAAGTGAACTTATATTTGCGAATTTGATCCCTAACAACTTGTTCCTCCGAGGACGTAAAATAATAATCATTTAAGTTTAATTTTTTGGGCTCCATGCTGTATGATGACTTGTTCCCACTTCCCAGGAAGAAAGTCATTAATCTAGCATTTTTTAATAGACAATTAAACTTTGATTAAAAACTCCTATCTCTATATTCAACAGATACCCTCAAAAACTCTGTAACTGTGGGGATGGAAAACACGGGGCCTACTGAGTTGGCTTCAATTGAGTTGGCCGGCTCTGATACGGTTACTGTCTATGGTAGGTTAACAGAGTGGAGAGCAGGTGTTGGTTTATACAATATACTTAAATTTAATATCTGACGAAAGATTCCAAAATACTTGGGAAGTATTTTGGAGTCTGGAGTTAGCATCTAATATTGATTACTATATTGATATTCTGTATATCTATAATTACAGTTAACCTTATTCTAGTATGTACAATAATTCTAGCACGAGACATACAGACAGAGTACTTCCAGCGACTATCTACACAGGTATTGTACAATTTCTAACCAAATCTTACAGAGTCAATAACACGTGCTACCCTCGTGACAATCCAGCCAATCAGATAATAGTTCCTGCAGCCTGGTGATTCTCCTACTTTCTCAGCTCACCTTATTGCAGAATACACTAAAATACAGGTGAGATTAGTCATATGGACACGTTCATAAAAAGGTGGCACTAGAGATTGATTTTTCACTGCCAAAATTGTGTGAAGCATTTTAAAATACTTGTATCTCAATGAGTATGCTATGAAAGTTAACCAAATTTTAATATGTGGTCCAAAAAGATTCAAATATCACATAATTAAGTCATTCATCTCTTTATATCTGTTAATTGTGCAGATATGAGCCAGAAATCACAAAATATTCATTTCTTGCACCTCTAATGATGAATTTACATTCTGTGAGTGTGTCCTGCTTCTCAATGTGATTATTGAACCTTTTTGAGATAGTTGAGTGTTAAAAGTGCAAAGTATCACCGGTTAAATGTGGAGTTACGATGCAATTATCACACACAGGGTTAATTCTGACTAAGTGTTTTAGAATGATGAATGTGATATGAATATCAACGGAACGATTGTAACAATGAACTCTATCAATCACAATTATATCATGCTAACTAATATTTAGAGAATTTAGATGGTTAAAAGTGCCATAATGAGTCAAAAATCACATAAATGAGCATGTATTGAAATGATGCTGTATCAGGGGAATGTATCACTTTTTGGCTCTATATCAGGTTGGTATTCATAGTAAATCTGCAGTAATTTGTTGTGACACTTGTTTATGGTCATGGAGAAGTTCGTTATTAGAGTATAGTGGAATCAATAATCACAAAAAACTGATTTTAAACTGAGTAAACTAGGCAAGTACTTTTACAGCTCAAGCCATGATAATTTTGTCGCCATAATGTGACAAATGAATCATATCAGTTACATATAATACTTAATCGGATTTTTGAAATGTGATTATCGATTCATTACCTTTACTTTCAAAATGTCATTACAACTTGAACATTACGTATGATTCAATTATCACACTTTAAAGGAAATTACATATTTGGTAGCCATATTGTTGTAACTAAATCTAGAGAGGACATATTTCTCTTGACTTAATATTAAGAAAACATGCTACTAGCATCTAGCATTGCTAGATGTAGAACTTTGTTCCACGATCACGAGGGATGGTGGACAGCTTGCGCTAGGTGCAACACTCTAGGTCACAAGATCATACATCAACATTCAACATTCAACATGGTTAGTATTGCAAGCTGTTGATACAACCGCGTGAGTATTTATAAGTATGGTTATTATTCTGACGACTAACTGAATTAGAGCGTGGTTCTGCTTTTAGTTCAATATGAAATCATAATGTGTCGAAATTCTTTCCTGATTCTATTTAATATACAATATTGTTCAGTGCCTCAAAAGTCAAGGTGTTGCACTGTGCTACATTACCTCACTTGTATCGTGTAGCTATTATACTACTACCTGCTGTTAAACTCGCTCAATCTGGAGAGGACTAATCAAGTGGTGGCAGAATACTTTGATCTCAAATACATTAATTGGTGGTGTTTTAAGTAATAATTATATCTAATAATGCAATGTTTAGATTCCATTTTCTAAGCTTCGGTCAGGTCTAGTTACCGCTGTACTACTAAACGGGCCTTGTACACACATTATTGACATAGTACGTCAATCCAAAGAACAGCAGCAATGTATGAAGTATCAAATAACAAGAAAATTGTGTTACTACTTACTACTAAAAATTCATTTTAGAATTTTTTTATCCCATGAGCTTATGACCGTCACAATAGCTCACGTTACTATTACTAGTTCATTTTGCTCCGCTCAAAATTGATCATAATTCACATTTTTTATCCTTTTTCCTTAGTACACCCCAACTTAAAATGTCAGCTTACTCTTTTGACTGTTTTCTGTTGTTCACGCGGTTTTGTTCTAACGGTATTACGAACGTTTTAAAAAATCATCACTGATCGAATATTCTTACAGAATTGTCACTATTTGAAAACTCCTCAAACTGAAAACTTTAATCACAACACAGACGTTTTATTTAGTGAATAAGAGTCTTTTTTAATCTACTCTCTTTATAATATTTAAATACTAAATTATGAATTATGAATTCTGTATGCGCTATTCCTGGTTCCTGATCGTCTTAGCTTTACTCTTTTGGACGACCTTCGGTTCAACAGGTACAATAAGTTCGATAAAGTAAATTTCATTCTAACAATATATTTTAAATTTAAAAAATAAAGGATTAACGTTTGGCCACATGCAGTTTCAAGAGCAAATTTTGAGCTGTGAAAACAATGTAGATAGATTTGAAATATAAAAGTGTTAATACTTCATCTGATGAAGGTAGGGATCTGCCGGGACAACGACATAGAATTGACTGGGACGATCTGGAAGCTCACCCTGTAACATTCACGACGGATTCAGAAGTTGGAAGTGAAGATATCCTAACATTGGTTGTCTACAAGGAAAGGAATTTCCGAGTCATAGGAAACATATGGATATATTTCACTGATCCCCTCACATATTGCCTGTGGCGTTGCCTAACTACAAGTGCAACAGCATTGAAGCAATTTCCTGTGGATCTGCCAGCAGATTGCAGCAAGAGCTGGACCATATCAAGAACCTCAAATAACTTGAAGATCTCATGTAATGACATTGTAGTCTTGGAAAACATAACATTTGATGACTCATGTGCACTGAACCGGTCTCAACACATTGCAAAGATAGACTCTCCCGTCGTGCCAAAGTTAGACGGGAGAATTCCAAGCTGTGATTCTCTCCCTGATGTAGCTCATCTCCAAATAGTCCCTGGCACAAGGCTTCCTGTTTACTATGGAACAACAGTTTCAGTGCAGTGCGAAGAAGGATATACACTTCAGGGGATCTGATGTGTGAAGAGGAACGTCTGCTTGTCAAAGCTTGGGTAAGTGAACTTATATTTGCGAATTTGATCCCTAACAACTTGTTCCTCCGAGGACGTAAAATAATAATCATTTAAGTTTAATTTTTTGGGCTCCATGCTGTATGATGACTTGTTCCCACTTCCCAGGAAGAAAGTCATTAATCTAGCATTTTTTAATAGACAATTAAACTTTGATTAAAAACTCCTATCTCTATATTCAACAGATACCCTCAAAAACTCTGTAACTGTGGGGATGGAAAACACGGGGCCTACTGAGTTGGCTTCAATTGAGTTGGCCGGCTCTGATACGGTTACTGTCTATGGTAGGTTAACAGAGTGGAGAGCAGGTGTTGGTTTATACAATATACTTAAATTTAATATCTGACGAAAGATTCCAAAATACTTGGGAAGTATTTTGGAGTCTGGAGTTAGCATCTAATATTGATTACTATATTGATATTCTGTATATCTATAATTACAGTTAACCTTATTCTAGTATGTACAATAATTCTAGCACGAGACATACAGACAGAGTACTTCCAGCGACTATCTACACAGGTATTGTACAATTTCTAACCAAATCTTACAGAGTCAATAACACGTGCTACCCTCGTGACAATCCAGCCAATCAGATAATAGTTCCTGCAGCCTGGTGATTCTCCTACTTTCTCAGCTCACCTTATTGCAGAATACACTAAAATACAGGTGAGATTAGTCATATATGCATAGGTTGAAATTTTTGTTCTAGTAGCTTCTACCTTTATTATTCAGTGCGAAGAAAGAGAAATTGTGATATTTTTAGATAATATTTCACAATTCTAGACGAGATTTTCCCCAAATTCAGGCGATCAGCTGTTAAAACGTCACAATATAGAGAGGAAGCAACGTGAGAGAAGTGCTCAACTACTCTGTAGAACACGGGGTCTACTTCTTGGATATGTTCCAATACTGTTACTATCTATGGTAGGTAAATGTGACCAGTAGAACGGTTGGAAATGTTTATTTTACAGTCAATTTCAACAGTCGAATTTAGAGTGATAGAAGAGCAAAATTTAAATTCCAAACCTAAAATTTGATCAGATTACTTAAATTATATTTGGTTTTTTAATTATAATCATCAAACCAATTACTCACTGATATTAAATAATTAATTAATTAGTTACTCACTAATATGGTCAATAGCCCCAGCACAGAACTGCCCATAGAACTTCTTAGCTCCCAATCTCCGCAGGTCGTCAATAGTAAAGGGCCATAAGTGGAGAATGTTGTTCCTTGTTGCTGAGGATCTCTTCTCAATCACGTGGGTCTCACCACCTGTAATGGTGTGGTTAGTAATTAGTAATTAGCAATTAGTAATTAGTTATTAGTTATTAGTAACTGGTTCATGTGATTGTAAAATGTTGTAATTCTTATTTCTGTTTTTCGTTATAAATATTCAGTTTTAGTGAGGACGTTGCTGTTATGCGGTGATTTCATGCTACGAAATTAATTGTCATATTCATACACTGAATATATTTGCGAACTTGTGATTTTATTCTAATTTGTCAAGCTGTTTGAACTTCGAAGCCTGCTCAAACTAGTGTTCATGTTTACACATTAGTTGTTTTAGTAGTTGAGTAGCTGTAGGTTATCGTGACCACACACCAGGTTATGATATTATGAGAGTTAGTGTTTAAATAAAGAGAGTTTGCCAGGATTCTGAAACCCCTCATTTTGCAACGGGCTTACTCCACAGTCTATATAATTTATATTAGTGTATTGCTCACTTCATACGAATATCATTGTTACATGGGGCGAGCTAGTGGACCCAGCCATAAAACTAAGCATTACAAAATATCGTAATATCAAACTGCTACACAACGCAAACTAAACATACTAAAATAACAAAGCTTATCTCACCCAGAAAAGCACACTCAATAGCCATCCTAAGTCCAATAGGTCCGGCCCCAATAACCAATGTCCTCCTCCCCTCCGACAGTACATTTCCCTGGTACACCACGTGGTCAACACGCTCGTCTAGAATCTTCCAGATAGACTGAGCGCGCCAGGATCTGAGGCTCTGTTTCAGTTTGTGGTAGAGGTTTATAGAGCGGGTGGAGGAGAGGTCTGAACCACATTCTTGTAATACCTGCAGTACATTCCTGGTTAAAGGACTTTTAGATGATTACCAGAACTTGACACAATTATATAGTACAGTAAATTCACTGCGGAGTTTGGGGTAAAGAAAACATCCGCGGTAAATCAGCGTCCGCAGTAAATCGGGGTTTTGTTTGTTGTTAAGCCCTATTTGGGGAAAGGAAATGTAATATGAACTAAGGCTCTGAAGAGTGAAGAGTGTCCCTATATAATAATAATAACACACTTCACAGTATCATATCAGACTGTGAGCTCTCTCTCTCTATTGCCAGTGTGTAGACTAGTAGGTATCAGTGTCTAGTAGGTAGCACAGTGTCTAGTAGGTAGCACAGTGTCTAGTAATCTAGACTGTAGGTATCGCAACTAGGGTGACTTGAAGGAAAACTACAGAAATCTACATTGTAAGTTTGTATTCCTGGCCGTAACTACGAGATTCTAGTTAGCAGAAAATCTGCTGCGTTAAAGTGCATCAGCTTCCTGCAAGTAGTCACAAAATAAGAAGTAAATTAATTGACTCACGTGTTGTTTTATTTCATTGAAGTATTCGAAAACGTCCTCTTGATTTTTAGCAGCGACGAAGCAATCAAAAAGCTGGTCAGGAGTCTGGACTACCATTCAGTGGCGTTACCAGTCACGTGCTCAAGTTACCAGTCACGTGCTCAAGTTACCAGTCACGTGATGTCCATATAAGGAGTTGCCATATGATCAGTGTCATGTTACATTCCGGTGGCATTCTATAAGAGTAATCGTCAGTTTTACGTTTTAGTAGCATTATGTTATTGTGTTATCATGTCGTTAGTAAGTAACTGATTGTTGGATATGGAATGTAACAAAACTAAACTTACTACAGGAACCTAATTACACCTGATTAGCCTAGTTATAACAATTAGTTTCAAGGTTTAAGCGATGAGGGGATCATACAACGTGTGAAAATCAGTCACGCTCAACTTTCAATAGAGAAATCACTAGCGAGGAATGCTAATAAGAGACATTCCTTGGTACGCTACGTTACAGTATACTTTGTCATTGTGCTGTTCGGAATTTCTATGTAGAATAATTGTAAGCCATTAAAAGTTAAGAAACTAGATAAATTTGGCACACGTTGACATTAGGCAGAGTTTGGAATATATCGTCAGCAAGCAACGACATTGCCCAAATAATTATTTGCGGTCATAAAAATCATAAGTATAAACCATCCGAACACCACGATTAAATATACTAATTTGAAGCGGTGGTAACAGTTTTTAAAAATGTATAACAATCTCCATCTGACCACTTTCTTGATCCAACAAGGGAGAGACAAGTACTTATTGAAATGAACAGCGATCATTATGCAGTCCATATAAACAAAGTTTGCCAAAAGAATGACAAAGGACATTTATAAGATTCCACGCGCATCTTATAGTTAAGAGAGTGTTTTAACACATTCCCTAACAAGTCATATTAATACTGTGTTCAGAGCATGCGGCACTTGTTAATCATATGAAGGTATATAATTTGTTAACATTTTTATGATTTGTTAACATTTTTCCTGAATAACTGTCAAAGGAGTAATCTTAGCCCGTGAAAGGTATCGTTTGAAGACAAAATGATAATATATGATAGTTTTAGCGGTACTACACCTACACGCATACATACGATACCTTAAATATAGCAGCAGATCATTAACATGTACAAGATGTAAACTTAATGATGATAGAGTACCTAATCTAATATGCAGTAAAACTCAGAACTTGTTACTTGAAAATAATCTGGATTCAGTCAATAAAAGCAAATAAATTAAGATAAAACCACCTAATTAAACTAATAAACTTATCCCTCAAGTTTTCTCCGTTTAGCTCCAGTCTCCTCCAGCTGCTCCCAAATATCCTCCCCCTCCTCCTTCTCCTTAATCCGCTCGTTAGTAAACACTACACAGTTCATCTTATTCTTCAAATAGAACTTGTTTTCTATTTCTTTAGTAAGAGTATTGTGCACTCTCAGGAACCTATCTAGACCTACACTCGCTAGGAACGGTTCCTTGGAATGTAGAGCCAGAGACCGGACACTTCCGACTGCTCCTTTAAACTTGTTAACTTCTGTTGTATTTCTGTAATCTATTCGACCAATGTCTCCTTTACCGTTACCCATGTAGCAGTGAGTATCATTAGCAGTCATGGACAGTATGGGGAGTTCACCCCAGGATTTATCAAGGATTGGACGTCGCTTGACACGTGTATCGTACTGTCGGTACTGATGGTAATGAGTTCCTACACTCAGGATATTACTGTCTGAAGGTTGTGAAGCTATTGATCTGATCCAAACTGGGACTCTGATGTCCAGAGTGTCCCTGGGAACATTTTTGGATGTGAACACTGGTTTCTGAGTTTCTATATCCCATACTTTTAACTCATTCTCTTTACCACCACTAATTATCTTACCATCATGGGACTTCACACAACATTCTATACTTTCTCCTATTTTGAACTTTGCTGCAACTTCTTCATCACGCCAAACGTATACCTGCCCGTTTTTAGCAACAGACAAAAGCTGCTCACCAATATCAAATGCGGTGAGCAATTCTCCTTCCATATCATATTGATTAACGTATATATTTTGAGACATATCAAATACGTTGATAAGATCTGATTTGAGAGTACAGTAGAGCTCCTGGCCATTCTCTGAGGAAGTTAGGGAAACTATTTCATTCTTTTTTGATATCTCATCGTAGGTAACAACAGTGTTCTGCTCTGTTTTTAGGCAAACCCCCCGTATGGAGCCAAGGTCTGTAGCAACCCATAGATTCGTCATATCTGCCTGCAATTATTTTACATTTAAGCAATTTATTAGTGGACAAAATTTGGTTAACTTCAAGAACAGTATTTCATAAATACATTGTTTTACAAGAATTTGATTTATTTACAAAAATCTTTTTAGCAATAAAACACAAGGTCCATAATATAGTTACATCAAATAAATTAGGCAATGATTGTGACAAAATATAATACAAAGGGGGCGGGGGAGGGGCGTAATCACAAGTAAATTCCTGATTCACTTTTTGCCCTTCACATTTTTGTTAGGAGGATTTCTTTGAGCAAAAAATTTAGCAGCTGTATCAACAAATTCAGATTGAAAAACTGCAAAGGTCTCAGGGTCAGACAAATCTATGAAATATGGGCACTCTTGGCCAGGAGCCCCCACCTTCTGTTTCAATCCACTACCACCTTTAATATGCTGTTCAAATATACTGGAACTGTATGAGAAGTCGTCTGAAAAGTCGCATGCTGAATTAAGTATTTGGTTCAAGTCAAACTTAGCTTCAAATCCTACCATGAACGCGTCGATTGCACTACTGCCAGTTCCAACTGGTCTTACAAATTCAACACTTTCTGCATTCACTGTATTAGTCTTTACATTGTAATCTTCTGGATTACAAATCACATTCTTGAAATCAGACAGTGCAGTCAATAGTAGGGGGTGAGCTTGGCTATCGTTAATATGTCTCTCAAATTGAGCCTCTGTAGAAGCTTTACGATCTAAAAACAAGAAATCGGAAATAGACTCTGGTATTTTCCCCTGTTTTAAAATATTCACATACTCCTGAACTTCTTTCTCTTTCTTTGTCTGTTTATGTTTCATTCTCTTTGATGGTGTTTTTGGTTGTTCCCCAGTTTTGGTTGTTTGCTGTTTTTGAAAATCTAAACCTGAAGGTTCATCAGCATTTCCTAGACCATGAGGATTAGATTCCTGAGTTTGTGTTTCCTCCACTTCTTCCTCATCATCACCCTGGCCCTGTTCTGTTATATTATCATCAATTGCACCTAATGCCTCTCGAATTCTCTTTTCTCGCACATAGCTACTTTTTCTGATGGAAGCTTCCTCGTTTGATTCACAGAGTTCTGACCCAAGGATAACTTTTATATCTCTTGTACCATTTTGAAGATAGATTCGTTTCTTTCTGTACCCATATCGATCAAGTATCCGTAGAGGCTTAATAAAGTGCTCAAAACGCTTTTTTATCTCTTCTGTGGTGAATTTAGACATTGAACCATGAAGAATAACCCATTCACATCTTAACTTGAGGTCATTCCCGAACCAACGAACTAAATATTCTTCTTCTGATCGTAGAAATCGATCTCTAGCCCATCCAATAGTTAATTTCCAATATGTTTTTATTTCTTGTTCCATTTTTGCAAAAACCTCTTTTTCGAGAGAAACTTTTACAGAATTCAAATCCCTTCGAAGGTTTTTGTTTAACTGAATTTTGAGGTTAGCATTTCCTTGAATTTTAAGTGATTTTTGCCATTTTTGGAACTCGTTAAACACCATCCTACAAACATTTTTTTTGGCAAGTTTAAGAATTCTGGAAGATCTGATGTCAGCTCGATATTGCTCCCAGGATACAATTTTCATCCCAAATGTACTCGGATTGATCAATCCTTCTGACCAACGATAATTACTCAGAGCTTTTAGCTTTGCATTTGGCTCATCTTGAATTTCCTCATAAAATGAGCAGCTAGGGGGATCCATCACATCTGGCTGCAAAATAGTTTAGTCAGAAAACAAAAGACATATAAAGATGACATTTGCACTATGAAACCAGTTTCATAATTATTTATTGACTACAAGCACAACATACATTCAATTGTAAAAATATTTGTCTGATGAAAGAATTTCTTGAGACCAATTTTGTTGTATCATTGATTATTGATGATTGATTAATGTAATTGATGTAATTACTTCTGATATATTACAAATTTTAAGCAAACACAAAAATATTCAATTTAAAAGTAAATTATTATATGTACCAATGCAGAAATTACATCAATAAAAGTAAACATCCATTTCCACAATAACCCCTCTGTCCACTCCTCTGATTTATGCATTAATTGTAATTTGTAAAAATAACTGTTTATAAACTGACACTGCATATAAAAGCTGAAACTTACTGCACATAATCTGGTGGGTAAGGGTTTTACAAACATAGTAAAAAAACAATATTAGAAAATTAGCTTTAAGAACCATATTATATACGAAAGTAATTATATATAACAAAACTCAAATATTCAACCTACATGCCAGAATTCATAGATCAAATTTTTTAAATTTAGAAAATCAAAATTTTATGAACCATACAATACATGTCCTTTAAATGTAAAGAAATCAACTTCTTATTGTTAATTTATTCGATCTTTCTCACTTTCTTTGCTTTGAGTTGTTCATTTCCAGCATATTCCTTAGTTGATAAATCTTTAACTCCGTGAATAGAACTGTGCAGCCCATATACTATGCAGTAGAGAGCCAGCAAGAAACTTACAACACCACTTAAAAACATCTCCTTCCTCCAGGGTTTAGTGAGCCTGTAAAATAGAGGATATACCCATATTCCAGTAGCGTAGCGAATATAGTAGAGCCATGAAACATAGCATCCAGCATACGTCATACAGAGTGCAAAACCATCGTTAAAAGTAAGGAACTGATGATTGAAAGCAGCCAGTTCCACCAGAGCAATTACTCCAAGTAGTGTGTGCATCATGTGGCCATATGTCTGGGGGATCAGCAGATCCAGGTGCACAGGCCATATCAGCTCCCTGTTGAAGAAGTACAGACCCCAGAAAGCACCAACAACAAGCAGCGCTGCAGGACAAACCACAGCTCCAAACATACTGTCCAGGAAAGACTTTATCTTCTTATTCATTGACTCAGGGAGGACGTGGCAGAAAAGTGCATCTTGTAGAAAAGCTCCAATGAAATACCAGCAGTTTAGCATGCAGGTGATAAATGTTAGTGTCTTCCAGCGACCAGCATATGTCTCATAATTTGGATGCTTGATATCCCAAATTGAGGCATAAAGGATGAAATAAGTGTGGTAAGCACCAAGCGCTAAACGCAGAATACCACGAATGGCTTCATTTGACATCATACACTGCCCTGTTGAAAGTTCAGAATTAAATAATCTCAGTATATTCTAAGAATCAAAGTGGTAAGGTGGTTTCAAAAGTCGAATGAACTTCTCCTCTCAAATAGATTTTTGCACAGTGCATTAGCATAGACAAATATAGATGTGCCTTGTGGTTGCACCACATTGATAATTATTCCACAAAATTTGTACTTAATGAAAAAAAAATCGGTCAAACAAAAATGTCACCAATTTGTGACATTAACAGCATAAGTAGAATAAAACAATTTGAAACCTAATACACAATATGGCTGTCACACACATTTTATTTTATTGAGAGGTTCATCAGATTAGACTTGTGCTTTGCTTGAAATAGGACCAAGTTAAGGTGATGCAAATTCCACATGCAATGATCATGTATTGAGAATTAGGTTTTTAAAATAGGATAATGTTTTGATAAATTTTTAATAAATATTGTATTTGATAAATGATTAATGTTGGAGGGAAAATATTTATTATATATTTTTTCACATAGTGCGATGATATTTTGTAGACATGTGTGATGATGTGATGTCATAAATGTTACTTTACTTTTACTTTACGTATTATAAAAAATATGGTAGCACTTTCTCTTACCTCGGGACGTACCTCAGGCTATCATGTTCATAAACATTGAACATAGCCTGAGATTCTGCAGAATGACAGGCTGAGCGCGGCCCAGTAACACTTTCTCTTATCTCTCATATGTATGGAGGCCCATTTAATTGATTCAAAACAATCTTGCAGGTGAATCTATCTGTTTTGCAACAGTCATTGTAAAGATATTTATGTTGCTACCTGAAAATCTACAAACTGCAGTCCTTTTATTTCCCTTTATAAACTTCATCTCCTTTGCACATTTCAAGAAAAATCATCATTAGGAGGAATCTGGCACTTCTCTGGATTGTATGTTAGGGTCCTGATAGTGGCAGGTATTGAAGGACGTTTAAATCCTCAAATGATTGGATAGACATATGGTGCAAAACGACTCAGCTAGGACATGATACTAATACTAATTAGTTACAAAAACCCTTCTTATATAGCTGTGAGTTTCACAAGATAGCATTCACGGCTCTTACTAATTCGCTCGCCCAAAAATTTCACGTGACTTTGGTTTTTATGGTTTTGCAGCCATACAAAACGATGTTACAAAACCCAAATCCCTTAACCCTAACCCTAACCATAACCCCGAAGCTATCCATTACCCTTACCACAACCCTAACCCTAACCCGAGCCCTAAACAATCGAATTCATGTTTTACTAGCCTGTCACGTGACCAAAACGGTTTTTTGCCCATAACTCTCCAGGGAAGCATTTTTACCCTACGTCATGTGGGGTGATTCGGAATCAGCGTCCAAAAATACACCGATTCAGATCAATTTCACACCCAAAGTGCCTTTTCACAAGAATTTTCTTAAAATTTGGGCGAGCGATTTAGTAGGAGCGAGCATTCACAGCGGCTATTTCCAAAGCTATCAATGCAGTGGTTATTAGTATATTGAAGTAAGTTATCGTGTACTTGTTGGGTGTACATCATCATGGTTACCATATTTGATTTTATGGATCTGTAAATTATTAAATTTAATCTTGTAGCGATGCGTTACTGTGCCGCGCCGCGCACTCAATTATGCTTCTCGCTAGATCGGCGAGATGCGCTACTGTGCCGCGCCGAGCTGCGATGAATTGACATCGTCAATTAAGTAGAATCAATGATTCTGAATAAGATCAATAATTTTGTATTTATTTTGTTTAGACCTGTGATGGGCCAGTTTTGCCTATTATATTAGGAAAAGAGGGTTATGGTTTCGAATAGTCGTTCAGTGTCAGCTAGAGAACGGGTTGAAAAATTTACGTGACAGTGTGTTGACACACACTGTAACCCCTTTCAATCGCGCGCGAAGCGCGCGCGGCTGGCCTGCCGGCCGGCGTACATGC